GCACCTGGAGTCACTGTCATCCAGCAGAGACTGCCTACCAGGCCCTTAATTCTTCCCAGGACTCGGCACAGGTGCCCACAGCCACTGCTCAGCGGGTCTTCATTCCAAGCCACATCTCACTTGATGTTCTCTGTGCCCCTAGGCTTTATTATATCTTGAGAATATTTTGTTAGCTAGAAAGACTTGAAAACAGATGCAGTTTAATTTTCCAACCCAGAAAACCCCAGCTCCTGTCAGCAAACTACAGACGAGGAGTCAGATCCACTCCATTGCTTGGTTCTGTGTTGTCTGAGCTTAGGATGGCTTTTACGCTTTCATTTTTAAAATCTTATTTTATATTTTGAGACGGGTCTCAGGCTGGAGTGCAGGCGGCTGATCACAGCTCACCGCAGCCTCAAACTCTGAGGCTCAAGCAATCCTTCCACTTCAGCCTCCTGTGTAGCTGGGACTATAGGCATGTGCCACCACCCTCAGCTGATTTTTGTATTTTTTGGAGAGACGGGGGGTCTCACTGTGTTGTCCAGCTGGTCTCGAACTCCTGGGCTCAAGTGATCCTCCTGTCTCAGCCTCCCAAAGCGCTATGGTTACCAGTAGTGAGCCAGTGCACCCAGCCAACACTTTTAAATGGTTGGGGAAGAAAAACCCAAAAGAAGAATATTGCATAAAGCATGAAAATTTTTTAAAACTCAAAATTCAGTGTCCCTGCATTTTTCTTCAAGCACACACACGCCCGTCTGTTTACACGTTGCCTCTGGCTGTTTCACTGCACGACAGGCGTGGAGCAGTGCTGCAGCGGGGACGTGGCCTGCAGAGCCAGCGCCTTCTCTTCAGTCCCTTTTGGAGTTTGCTCACCCGTCTCCGCTGTGTGTCCCCTGCAGCCATCTTCTCTTCCGAGTTCCCCTCCTTTCTGTGGTGCCTTAGCCACAGCAGAAGCGGCCTCTGGCCTTCGCCATTCAGCCTGGAAGTCACCTTGGGAAGTCTCTCACGTTCATCAAACACATTCTGTTTCCTCCGTGTCTCCGCCAGCCACACTCTGTGCCACTTCGTGCCCCGAGCCACCATCTTCCCAACCTCCCGTATCAGCTTCCTCCCCCTTCCTCCAGCTTCCACTGTGAGTGCTGCCGGCCACCAGCTCCCCAAACCAACGCCCCGCTTCTGGTATTTTCGCGAAGCCTCTGATTACTAGACACCGCTTCCGTGTCGTTCGTCTATTGCCACAAGAACGCTGCATTAGGAAGAGTGAGGAGCCCTGGGTCACCCAGCAACAGGCCCTGAGCTCGGGCAGCTGCGGGTCGGCCACGTGACCTGTGGGTTCTTCTGCTTGGGCTGAGCTGCTCCCGTCGGGCTGCTGGCTGGCCTGGGACAGCCCGAGCTGGGGGCTGAGAAGCACTTTTCCAAGCGCCCGCTTAACTCCGTTTGACCAAACCGTGTCTGTGGCAAAATTGAGATGTGCAGATTGGGGAAAGGCGACACGGCACCTCGACGGGAGGAACCGCAAGACCTGTGGCGGAGGGCACCCCGTGGGAACGGCGGGGAGGGGACCCGCATGCGGCGGAGGGCGGGGAAGAGGACCCACTAGTTCATTTCCCGGACTCGGATGTCACTACTCAGCATGCAAACCCTTTACGTCGCACAACTCTGTTTTCCTCTAACGCCTTATGCTTGTGTTCCGTAATTTTCTTCTACACATTACACTGGCGTGGACGCTGCTTTAAATCCAGCAATCCTTGAGCACATTTTTCAATAGTCCTTCATTTTTAACCACAACCAAGAAAGGGTTGACCCAAGGTCCAGACTGAGTTCACCACCTCCCAGTAAAGCCTCACCCTGCAGCTCCTCACAGACGCCTGCCTCCTCCGCGCTGCCCGGCCATGTGGGTGGCCAGGCGTCTAGTCCATCGGTGTTGCTGTAAAGGAATACCTGAGGCTGGGCAGTTTCTAGAAAAGAGGTTCTCAGACTGTGCAGGAAGCGTGGTGCTGGCATCTGCTGCTCCTACTCATGGGGAAGGGGAAGGGGCCACACGGCCAGAGGGGAGGGGAGTCCCCAGTCTCTTTTTAACAACCAGCTTTCTCAGGAACTAACAGAACGAGAGCTCACTCCCCCCACTCCTCAGCACTCATCTGTTCATGAGAGATGTACCCACAGGACCCAAACCCCTCCCATGAGGCCCACCTCCAACATTCAGAGCTGAGTTTGGGGTTTGGAGGGGACGAACATCCCAACTCTAGCAGCAGGGCACGTCCACCTGTGATCTCCAGGTCCAACTCTAGCAGCAGGGCACGTCCACCTGTGATCTCCAGGTCCCTGGTGCATCCGCGCTTCAAGGAACTCTTGTTCCAGGAAATCTTTCCCACTCTGAGCTCAGCCTCTCTCCCCTCGGAGACACTGAATGCATTTCATATGTCTGGTGTCTGTCCATCTCTGTTTGGGGCACAGAATTGGATTCATTCTGATTCTCGTTCAAAAAACAACGGACTCTTCGTTGGTTCGTGCCGAGGCGTGCTTTCAGCGTTCGCTGGCTCATAATGACACGGACACCGGTCCCACAGGGAGACTGGGGCACTGATGATAATTCCTGCGCCAGTGACCCTGCCCCACCTGGCCGTCCACCTCTCTTCCTCTGAGGGAACTTCTCACCCTGAGTCTTTGACGGACAAGTCGGGGAAAGTACATCCATGGATTCCCGGGCCTTTGCAGAGAATCTGTTGCCCTCAGGAACCGCAGCCCACAGACTGGAAAGCTCCAACCGTGATCAAAGGAGCAGCAGACTTCACCCTCTCTAACGAGGACCGGCCTTTCTATTTTCCTAACGCCCTGAGACGGACACTAGGAATAGCCTTGCCCTTTCTATGAGACATGTGTGGCCTTCTCTTGGCAGAATTGAGTGGTACTGCAGCCCAGGGCTCCAGGATGCACAGGTGAGCCACGGGCCGCGTGACTGGCTTACAGCGCCCTGGCCGAGGCCAGGAAACCAAATGTAGCTGGAAAGTAGCCCTCGTGCTTATTTGGGTCACTTGGACGACATTACGCGAGATCCCATTCCACAACAACACGTATTTCCTCTTTCATTTTCCCTCTTCTCCCCATTCTTCCACACCCAACGAATCTTTGAAAACAAAACCAGCCAGGCATGCCGACTCATGCCTGTAATCCCAGTACTTTGGGAGGCCGAGGCAGGCAGATCACCTAAGGTTGGGAGTTCGAGACCAGCCTGACCAACATGGAGAAACCCCGTCTCTATTAAAAACACAAAATTAGCTGGGTGCAGTGGCAGGTGCCTGTAATTTCAGCTACTCAGGAGGCTGAGGCAGGACAATGACTGGAACCCAGGAGGCAGAGGTTGCGGCGAGCCGAGATCACGCCATTGCACTCCAGCCTGGGCAACAAGAGCGAAACTCTTGAAAAAACAAACAAAAAGACCAGGCACAGTGGCTCACACCTGTAATCCCAGCACTCTGGGAGGCTAAGGCGGGTGGATCACCTGAGGTCAGGTGGTCACCTGGCCAACATGGTGAAACCCCATCTCTGCTAAAAATACAAAAAGTAGCCCGGTGTGGTGGCACGTACCTGTAGTCCCAGCTACTCGCGAGGTGGAGGCTGCAGTGACCCTAGATGGCACCGCTGCACTCCAGCCTGGGCGACAGAGTGAGACCCTGTCTTAAAACAACAGTGACAGCAATAGCAACGAAACAAAACCCTCTGTGTGACTCTCAACCCCCAGACTGTCCTGTTTCCCCCAGCTTGACTCTTCATAGAATACCTCTCCTACTTTGTCTGATGTCTTTTATTTGTTTTAACTTTTATAATTGTTTCTTTTTTGATGTAAGTATTTAGGAAACCAAACATATTGTTGGGGTTAGGGTTAGGAGTTAGGCTTACGGTTAGCACTTCAATACGTGGTGGGGTTACTCCCTGTCTGTGGTCAGGACTCCCCTCCTGGGTCGCTGGGGTCACTCCCTGTCTGTGGTCAGTCTTCCTCCCCTACGCCCCATGAGTGGTAAGGTTTTCTCCCTATGAGGGGGCAGAGCTTCTCCCTATGTGTGGAGGGGCTCCTCCCTCTGAGTGGTCAGGGTTCCTATGTGTGCTCAGGACTCCTCCTTGTGTGGTGGGACTCCTCCCTATGTGTGGAGAGGCTCCTCCCAAGTGGTCAGGGCTCCTCCCTATGTGTGGTCAGGGCTCCTTCCTATGTGTGGTCAAGGCTCCTCCCTACGTGTGGTGGGCTCCTCCCTATGTGTGGTCAGGGCTCCTCCCTATGCATGGTCAGGGCTCCTCCCTATGTGTGGTCAGGGCTCCTCCCTATGTGTGGTCAGGGCTCCTCCCTACGTGTGGTGGGGTCCTCCCTACGTGTGGTCAGGGCTCCTCCCTATGCATGGTCAGGGCTCCTCCCTATGTGTGGTCAGGGCTCCTCCCTATGTGTGGTCAGGGCTCCTCCCTATGTATGGTCAGGGCTCCTCCCTATGTGTGGTCAGGGCTCCTCCCTAAGTGTGGTCAGGGCTCCTCCCTACGTGTGGTGGGGTCCTCCCTATGTGTGGTCAGGGCTCCTCCCTAAGTGTGGTCAGGGCTCCTCCCTATGTGTGGTCAGGGCTCCTCCCTACGTGTGGTGGGGTCCTCCCTACGTGTGGTCAGGGCTCCTCCCTATGCATGGTCAGGGCTCCTCCCTATGTGTGGTCAGGGCTCCTCCCTATGTGTGGTCAGGGCTCCTCCCTATGTATGGTCAGGGCTCCTCCCTATGTGTGGTCAGGGCTCCTCCCTAAGTGTGGTCAGGGCTCCTCCCTACGTGTGGTGGGGTCCTCCCTATGTGTGGTCAGGGCTCCTCCCTAAGTGTGGTCAGGGCTCCTCCCTATGTATGGTCAGGGCTCCTCCCTATGTGTGGTGGGGCTCCTCCCTATGTGCGGTGGGGCTCATCTCCGTGGGTTGCCCCTTGCTGTCCACTGTGAGGCAGGGACCCCCCAGCCCACCCAAGGCAGGTGCCGCCTTCTCACGGGGGTTCCCCTCCACAGGTGAAACCTCAGACGAGCTGCAGGAGGCGCAGCTCCCACTGATCCCGCGCACCTGGTGCCGCCTGCTCTATGGACACGCGTCCTACATCATGCCCAACATGTTGTGTGCTGGGGACATCCTGAACATTAAGACCGTGTGTGAGGTGCGCCCGCCTGGTCTGTGAGGCAGAGGTCACGGGTGCCCTGTGCCTGCGGCCCCCAGGGGACCCCCACTCTGGCCTCCCACTGACTAGCAGGAGCTCTGCAGCCATACCCTGAGCTGAGCAGGGCAATGTATGGCAACGCGTGAACGCCACAAGCCTGCAAGGGGCCTCCCCTGCAGCTCTGGGCCGTGTCGCAGCCAGTAGGGGGGCCGGGTGAGAGGGGGGCACTAGCCCCTTCTGACAGGGTCTGCAGGGCCACCCCCTTGCACCCTGACAGACAGGTGCTAGAGGCAACAGGCCTGGACTCCCAGTTCACAAGAACTCCCTCTTCCTTTCCAGGGCGACTCCGGGGGCCCACTCGTCTGTGAAGTCAACCGCAGCTGGTTGCAGATTGGAATCGTGAGCTGGGGCCGCGGCTGCTCCAACCCTCTGTACCCTGGAGTGTATGCCAGTGTTTCCTATTTCTCAAAATGGATATGTTATAATATAGAAATCACACCCGCTCCTGCTCAGCCAGCCCCTGCTCTCTCTCCAGCTCTGGGGGCCACTCTCAGAGTCCTTGTGGCCATGCTGGCTGGCTGGTCAGTGCTGTGAGGCCAGGACACCCCTCTAGCATTCTCATGGCTGCACGCTCTGCCCAAGCCCAGCTGCCTCCAGACCCCTAAGCACCTCCTGCCCTGCTCTCTCTGGAGGAGGCAAGGGCCACCCATTCCGTGGGTGGATGCTGAATCCAGGAGGTGCTGGGCAAGTGTGCAAAGGAGGAGAGGGAAGGGGAGAGGGGCTGGCCAGGCAGGACCCAGCTGGGGCAGAGCGCACTGAGATTTGATAAGATCATTAAATATTTACAAAGCGAGCCTCTGAGATCACCTGTGTGGGTCCTTCCGTCCCAGCTGGAGCTCTTGCCGCTTTCCTCTTCCACACACAGAAAGGGGGGACGGTGACTCCTCCCGAGGCTCTCAGGAGAGAAACAGACTGAATCAGCTCTTTCCAGAAACAGAGGGGCGATGACGCAGACACCCTCCTCGGAGTCCGTGCGGTGTGGTCAAAGCCCAGGCCCAGGGAAAGGCCACTGCGTACGTGCCCACACCTGCACACACAAAACAGCTGCCGGCATTTAAACATCCAACTGCAGAAAGAGGAAGAAGAGTGCGGTGGGGGACCCTGCGCTGGACGTCAACACAAGGAAGGGGCAAAGATGACGGAAGCAGACGCGAGGAGCCCAGGTCAGAAAAGCACTGGCAGCTCGTATTTCAGAGTTCTGCTCCTTGGAAAAAACCAACCAGTGGGCAGAGGCTGGGGGCATCACTAACCTACTCAAGACAGGGGATGAGAACAAAACACACAAAATGAGAAGTGACAAGTGAAAATGATCCACTGACAGAGAAAAGGTGAGAAAAAACTACTGAAACGAGCTCCAGTAGAGAGAGGTTCCAGGCTGGGCACTGTGGCTTATGCCCGTAATCCCAGCACTCTGGGTGACCAAGGCAGGAGGATCACTTGAACCCAGGAGTTCAAGATCATCCTGGGCAACATAGCAAGATCCCTGTCTAAAAAAATGAGCTGGGCATGGTGGTGGACACCTGTAATCCCAGTTACTCTGGAGGCTGAGGTGGGAGGATCGCTTGAACCCTCGAGGTTGAGGCTGTAGTGAGATGTGATCGTGCCACTTCACTCCAGGCTGGACCACACAATGAGACCCTGTCTCAAAAAGAGAAGGAGAGACAGGTAAGTTTTATTAAATAGAGGCAAAATTGGGCAGGTTATGGACAAGAATGACGAAACGAAAACATCAAGGCGGGAAATGGAGCCAGGAAATTTTGGAAAACGAGCTTCCACAGTTATGCATGCTTCAAGAAAACAATGAAAGATGTTATCCTAAAGTATGCTTCCTTCTAAAAGCTCCGAAAGATCAATTTCTCATAAACACAAGCAATGCAAAAGTGTTGAGGTCAAATCCTCTGCAAGATTATTGCAAGAGAAAAGAGAATAATAATATCCCTACAGACAATGAAAGCATGCCAGAAAGAGGAGCACACCAAAGAGATGAACACTGTCATCTGCTACTTCAAAACAGATGAAAATAAAATGTCTCTACAAACGCATGTCTGACGTGCCACCCTGCCTGGCTAATTTTTGTGGTTTTGTAGAGATGGGGTTTCACCATATTGCCCAGGCTGGTCTTGAACTCCTGGGCTCAAGCGGTCTGCCCACCTCAGCCCTCCAAAGTGCTGGGATTACAGGCTGTGTTTTTAATATTTTATCCACTTTATAGTTATTTATGGGAAGGTTGAACTGATAGGAACAACTTAGCCATTAACAGAAATAGGAAGTACGTTCACTCACAGAGAAAATCATCTGACTATCCCAGTTAATGCAAAAAAGTGTGTAAAGTTCAACATCTATTCATTATTAAAATATATGTAGGGCAAACTTGAAACATTAGGGAAATTTTCTACCTTGGCAGCGGTACAGTCCTAGCTCGCCGCAGCCTCAAACTCCTGGGCTCAAGCGATCCTCCTGCCTCAGCCTCTTGAGTAGCTGGGATCACAGGCACACACCACTACAGCTGGCTAATTGTTTTAAAATTTTTTGTAGAGACAGCAAAAAAATTTTTTTGCTATCTTGCCCAGGCTGGTCTCAAACTCCTGTGTTCAAATGATCCTCCCACCTTGGCCTCCCCAAGAACTTTGGAAAGGCCAGGCACACTGGCTCATGCCTACAGTCCCAGTGCTTTGGGAGGCCAAGTCAGGAGGATCCATTAAACCCTGAAGGTTGAGACTGCAGTGATCTGTGATTATGCCACTGCACTCTAGCCTGGGCAATAGAGCAAGACCCTGTCTCTGAATAAATAAATAGGATTTAAAAAGAGAAGCAAAGGTGGGGAAACAACCCCAGAGTCCATGACCCGATGAGTGGAGAAAGCAGACATGGGCCATCCACACAGTGGAATACCATTCAGCCATCAAAAGGAATAAATGACTCACACCACAGTGTGGATGAGCCTGAGAGTCTGATGCTGAGTGAAAGAAGCAAGATAAAGGGCAGCGGAGGGTTCGACTCCACTTGGGGCAATGCTGGGAGCAGGCAAGGCCGAGAGACAGGAAGCTACTTGGTGGTTCCGTAACTGTGGAGCCAGGCCAATCCGGCTCCACCTTTATATTAAACAAAATTGTGAATTGCGTTCCAGTGTCCACGGGCCCCAGAATGCAAGTTACCCGAACACATCCAGATAAACCAAAGTTGCAGCCTCAGGCAGAACCTAAGTGCCAGACCAAGGAATGGGGCAGGGAATTAAGACACGCACACCGCAGGCCGGGCGCCAGGGCTCACGCCTGTAATCCCAGCACTTTGGGAAGCCGAGGCGGGGGGATCCCGAGGTCAGGAGTTCCAGACCAGCCTGGCCAATATGGTGAAACCTGTCTCTGCTAAAAATACAAAAAAACAGCCGGACGTCCAGCTACTCAAGAGGCTGAGGCAGAAGAATTGCTTGGACCCAGGAGGTGGAGGTTGCAGTGAGCTGAGCTGGTGCTGCCACTCCAGCGTGGGTGACAGAGCGAGACTCCGTCTCAAAAAAAGAAACTGACGCCGCACAGCAGGATCCATGCTCCAATGAGATTAAGCCCTGGTGTCGCCCCATGGCACGATCCAATCAAATCTCGCCTCTCAGCGTCACCTCATTGCAAGATCCGATGAGACCATGCCTCATGGCCCTATGTCTACAAAGCCCGCCTCAGACCCCAGCTCTGGCAGACAGGTCTGGACGTCCAAGTCCTCGCCAGTCAGCACGCAGTGAAGTGTTTCTTTTCTCAAAAGCTGCTATCTTGGTGTTGGCTTTCACGCACGCGGGCAGCGAGCCCACGACTCGGTGGCAGTTGTTCGGGGATGGGGGAAGGGGGTGCAGTGCCATGTTAATGGGCAAAGGTTTCTTCTGGGGGTGATGAGGAGGCTTCGGAGCTAGACAGACGCGGTGGCCACACAACATTGTGAGTGCACCCGGGGCCGCCCAACTGTTCACTTTGAAATGGTTAATTTTATACACAAAGCTCACCTAACTCACAAAAAGAAAGTAGTTTTTCACACAAAATGGAATACATCGCACACACATTGCAAGGATGGATCCCAGTCAAAGTGGACCTTAAAAATATGCAAATGATCACCTCAGGTAGAGGGGGAAGGGGGGTGAATGTGGCAAAAGACAGGCGTAAGGAAATGCACAGATGGTACCTGAGAAGAGGAGTGGCCTGCCCAGATCGCAAGACCAGAGGGAAAGGGGAAGAAGAGTGCCGATGTCCCTGTCCCTCCGCTGATCAGGCAGCGTGGCTCGGGAGGCCCCTGCATTGCTGAGACTCGGGCCGGGCTCCGGCGGGGAAACCCCAGACCCAGGACGGGAGTCGGGGAAGGCGTGGTGGGGTCTGTCAGCAGAGGTGTCTCCTCAGCCCTCTCCGGGGCCGTACAAAGGCAGCCACCATCCCGCTCTGCTCTTCCTCTCAGATTTGAGGTTGTGCAGGCCTGCACCTTGGCACGCCTCGTGAGCTGGGCAGGCATTCCAGACCCTTTTGTATAAAAACTGTACCGGAACTGGGCAGTGGATCACGCCTGTGATCCCAGCACTTTGGGAAGCCGAGGTGAGAGGCAGAGTTTGTTTGAGCCCAGGAGTTCAAGAGCAGCCTGGGCAACCTAACAAGACCTCATCTCTAAAAATGTTAACCAGGCATGGTGGGATGCCCCTGTGCCCAGCTACTTGGGGGGCTGAGGCGACAGAATCGCTGGGGACCAGGAGTTTGAAGCTGCAGTGAGCTGTGGCTGAGCCACTGCACTCCAGCCTGTGTGACAAAGCGAGACCCTGCCTCTAAAAAAGGAAAAGGGGAAAGTTGGACGAGATGCAGATGACATTGCTTATGGAACGTGCCAGAACTGGCAAGTGCCTGGGAAAGGCCTCTACAGGTCCTCAGCTCACCACGCCACCCGGCTTGCCACTGAGGCCAGGCTGTTCCCCAGCACCCCTCCTCACTGTGGTCTTTGTCCCCCAATACTGCAGGACCACGCAAAGGCTCATTTCGATGAGCACCCCCTGGTGCCTTCAGAGAGCTGCTGATGCCTGCCCCTTCTTGGCCAGGGACTGTCAGCTCCAAAGACCTGTTCCAGAAAGTGACCTGCAGCCCTCATCTTCCAAATTGACTGGCCAGGCAAGTCCCATGACCTTGCTCTGGAAGGGGAGGGGCCAGGTCCGAGGAGGAGCCCACCTGTGAGCAGAGGAGGGTCAGAGAGACTGGACTGTCTACACCTGCTGCTTGGGGTGCCTGAAGATTCCAGGGTTCATGATCCAGAGTCCAGGGTCCGCCTCGCCACCCACCCCTGCAGGCATGGTGGGCATCCTCAGCCTGGTGTGTTTATGCAGGAAACTATTCCTGGGACCCTAAGGCCAGCAATCCCATGCAGTCTCCAAGCATGGCGTTCTCATCTGTAACTCACAAGTTTACAAAGTTACATCTGTAACTCTCAAATGATTTTCCTCCAAGGACAGACCAAGAGGCGGCTTTTTTCTGGTGGTGGCATCCTGAACTCTCTTACCACCAGGGAGCATTTCTCTCATGTCCAGGCAACGGAACTTCCCAGGCCCCCAGCGAATTCACCTGGGCTTCCCAGTGGGTCCCTCCACTGCTCAGTAGGGCCTGCAGTGCCCAGAGACCCAGCGGTGTGAAGTACCGTCATGACACGAGTGGCACTGGGTTTGGGGGTGCTGACATGGGTGGTGGCAAAAGGCAAGTTGAATCTAGGGGTTCCCTAATCTTACATTTGTCTTGAGCGTTGGAACGCCCCCACCAATAGAAGCTACGGAGAGACCCTGTCTGTGCACAGGTCACAGGTTGCAGAAGGCTCGGCCCATGGGGCTCCAGGAACACCCTCTCACACTTTGGCCAGGCCCCACAGGGGCACACGGAGGACTAGGCCCAGCAGGCTGCCAGGGCAGAGGCTCCACCAGGGTGCCCGCCAGCCTGTGCACTCCAGCCTGGGGCTGAGCCACCCAGCATTCGACTCTGGCTGGGCACTGGGCCCCTACGGAGAGGTCCTGCAGAGTGAGCACATCCACCCCTGCAGGGGCTGCCTCCGACCTCCCGGGGCCTCTGCTTTGCCACCCAGTGATGGGGGAGGAAGCTCAATCCGCCCTTCCGCAGCCTATGTCTATTCCTGAGTTAGTGGCAAGGAGACCTGCTTCCCACACCAGCATGGCTCCCCAGATCCAGCCCCTGGTGAGCTTCCGGTGGACAACTGGCCACGAAATCCAGACAGCCTGTGGTGTCTGGTGCTTGGGGTGAGGGTTCAGAAGACAGCCAGGCACACCTGCTCCTAACCCACAGCAAACTCTTCTGTCTTTTTCCAGGTGAACTCTGGGACACCTGAGTCTGTCAACTGAACCACATCTGGAGGTGTGAGCTGGATGACGCGGCTGCAGTCTCCCTGGGGCCCCGGTGTTCATGTGGAATGAATCCATTTTGCATTGCTGTGTCCCAGCACCTCCCCAGGAAGGCTCCAGCAGGCCACACCTGCTCTCCGGACCCTCTCAGCGCCTCAGTGCCTCAAGGTCCCCTGTGTCTGTCATGATCCGAGGGCCACTCCCTGTCAGGAGGCCTCCATGGAAGCTGCCCATCTCCTGTCCTTCCCTGACGGCGCTCTCACCCAAATCACTTTATCTTCTGCCCATCCCTGCACCCATCACTGGTCAGAAGCCTCCCCTGTGTGAAATGTCCTCTCTGAAATGCGGAGGGCAGTGCAAAGGCTGCGACATTCTTCTACCAGCAACTGTGGAAGGACGGGATTGATGGAATGATGGATCAGAACACCTGCAGATACAATGACCAATCATCTTCTGTTAATGAAGAAAGCATGCTTTCCACTTGATAAATCCCACTAAAGATCTAGATGCAGACTTTTAAGTTCATATTTTTTGTTTGTTTTTACTTTTTTCCCATTTCCATTATCAAATCAGTGGCATTGCATTAAGTTCGTATTTTTATACATCTTAGTAAAACTTTGGAAAACCAAAAATAGAAAAACCTTAAGTGGAGAAAATAGAAGGCGATTCAAAGTGAAATCAAGCTATCTAATAAGGAATATACTGAATACCAAAGAACGTAAAGTCATATCTTCAAAGATGAAGGGAAAAGAATTGTGAGCGTAAGTTTCTACACCCAGTCAGGCCAACACACCTGAGTGAGAATGCAATGAAAGCATTTTGTCAGATATAAGAGGCCTTAGAAAGGGCTCTGCACTTGAAAGGCCGCTGAAAGTCGCTACAGAATCTACACAGTGAGGAGAAAACTGAGCTCACACGTGTGTTCTCTGATTACAGTGAAGTTGACTGCAAATTAGTAACAGAAGGATATCTAAGAAATCTCAGTGTGTTTAAAAATTGAGAAATGTACTTCCAAATAACCTATGAGTCAGAGAGGATATTAGAAAATAGTTCAAATTGAATTTTTTTTAACCCAAACTGAACTTTTAAAAAGGAAGTTTAAAAAATAAAAATAGGGAACATCAAAACCTGTCCTGCAAGAGCTGCCCTATGAGAAAATGCCAAGAGAGGCCTGCAGGCTGAAAGGAAAGGACGCTGGATGAGAATCCACAGCCACGCGAAGTGAAGGGCACGGGCTCCAGTGCCTGCAAAGGGATCTGACGGCCAGTAGAAGTGGGAGCGTTTCATAACTCCTCTTCTTTCTCTATGTGATGTAAGGACAAATACATGAAACAACAATTATAAATCCATGCTAATGGGCATTCAATATATAAAGATGTAATGTGTGACAGTAACAAGGAAGGAGGAATAGAATTGTGTCAGTTTTGTGTGCTATTGAAGCTCAATTAGTATTAATGAAAACTAGAACATTATATTAATAAGTTTAAGGTGCTACTTGTAATCCCCAAGGAAACCACTAAGAAATAACTACAACATATGCAAAAATGTAAACAAGAAGAGACCCAAAATGGTATAAAAAAACCAAAAAAACAAAACTCAAACTAAGCAGAAAGCAGTGATGGAAGGATTGAGGAACAGAAAAATAAATGAAACATCTCTAAAAATAACAAAATGGCAGTAGTCTTTTCTTATCAGTAATCATTTTAAATGTAAACTGCTTAAATTCTTCAATTAAATAGCAGAGATTGGCATAACGGATACCAACAGTAACAAAACCCAAACAAAACAAAGCTTATGGTTCATCTATATGCTATCTAGAAGAGATTCCTTCAGATCCAAAGACACATATAGGTCAAAAGTGAAAGAATAGAAAAATAAAACCCATGAAAATCATACCAAAAGAGAGCTAGGGTGCCTATCCAAACAAATTAGGCTTTAAGTAAAAAATAGTTATGAAAAACAAAAAGGGGCATTATATTCAAAGGTTTAATCCATCCAGAAGAGACAACAACCATGAGTGTATATACAACTGACAAGAGATCTCTAAAAAACATGAAGCAAAAATGGACAGAATTGAAAGGAGAAATAAGGTTTCACATGAATAAAGACTTCAATACTCCACTTTCAATAATGGATAAAATAACCAGACAGAAGATCAATATGAAAACGGAGGACCTGAACAGTACTATACACCAGCTGGATGTAGTGGACACGTACACGACACTCCACCCCCAGAAAGCAGAGTATATATTTTCCCCAAGCACACATAGAACATTCTCTAGGATATATCATATGTTAGACCACAAAACAAGTCAATACATTTCTAAAAGTCAAATTTATACAACTTATCTTCTCCAACCACAGTGGAATGAAACTAGAGATGAACAGAAGGAAAACTAGAAATTCACAAAAGTGTGAAAATTAAATGACGTTTTAAAACCATCAATGGGTCAAAGAAGAAATCACAAGAGAAATTAGAAAACATTTTGAGGTGAATAAAATAAAAAACACAAAATATCAAAAGTTGGTTCTGCAGCAAAATCGGTGCTCAGAGAGGAATTTATAGCTGTAAACATCTACATCAAGAAAGAAGATCAGTCCAGTGATCTGGTGGAGTTGTAAAAAAAGAAAGAGAGAAAAAAGGAAGAAAAGAGAAAGGAAGGATGGAAAGAAGGAAGGAGGGAAAGATGAAGGAAAGATGGAAGAAAAGATCAGTTAATACAGTTGAAAAAAAAGAGAAATATCTCAGAAAAGTTCCCTAGGTTTGCACCTTAAGAAACTAAAGAAAGAAGAACAAACTAAACTCAAGCTAGCAGAAAGATGAAAATAAAAAAGTTTTGAGAAGAAATAAAGAACAGAAAAAAGAAAAAATAAATGAAACAAAAGTTGGTTATTTGAAATGATTAACAAATTTGCCTAACCTAGACTTTCTAAGAAAAAAAAGAAAACTCAAACTATTACAACAGAAAATGGGAATGTTACTACCGACCTTAGAGAAATAAGAAGGATTGTAGCAGAATGCTGTGAAGAATTGTACACTGACAAACCAGATAACCTAGGTGAAATCAATACATTTATAGAAATACAAAAACTACCATATCAGCCTCAGGAAGAAATAGGAAATCTGCACTGACCTATAATGGGTGAAGAGCTTGAGGCCATTAAAAAAAAACCGGCCAGGCGCAGTGGCTCAAGCCTGTAATCCCAGCACTTTGGGAGGCCGAAGCAGGTGGATCACGAGGTCAAGAGATCGAGACCATCCTGGTCAACATGGTGAAACCCCGTCTCTACTAAAAATACAAAAAAATTAGCTGGGCATGGTGGCGCGTGCCTGTAATCCCAGCTACTCAGGAGGCTGAGGCAGGAGAATTGCCTGAACCCGGGAGGCGGAGGTTGCGGTGAGCCGAGATCGCACCATTGCACTCCAGCCTGGGTAACAAGAGGGAAACTCCGTCTCAAAACAAAAACAAAAACAAAAACAAACAAACAAAAAAACCCTTCTAACAAAGGAAAGCTTAGGACCAAGTGGCTTCACTGGTCCTAACGGGAGTGCTGGGTGCAGTGGTTCAAACCTGTAAACCCAGTGGTTTGGGAGGCTGAGGTGATAAGATTGAGGCCAGGAGTTTGAGACCAGCCTGGGCAACATAAAGAGACCCCATCTCTACAAAAATAATTAAAAATTATCTGGGCATGGTGGCATACATCTGTAGTCCTAGCGATTCAGAAGGCTGAGGTGAGAGGATTGTTTGAGCCCAGGAGGTCAAGGCTGAAGTGAGCTATGATTGTACCATTGCACGCCAGCCTGGGTGGCAGAGCAAGACCCTAGTTCTAAAAAAATAAATAATTAAAAATAGCACCAAGTCCTCTTGAACTCTTTTAAAAATTAGAAAAGGGAAGAACACTTCAAAACTCATTCTATGAGGCCAGTGTTATCCTGATACCAAAGCCAGACCAAGACATCATTAGAAAAGAAAATTAAAGAGCAATATTCCTTATGACTATATATAATAAAATTCTCAACAAAGTACTAGTAAAATGGAATTGGCATATTAAAAGTATCATACAGCATGACCAAGTGGAGTTTATTATAGGACCCCTAGGGTGGTTCAAGATACAAAAAATAATCAATGTGAAACACTGTATTTATAGAATGAAGGGGATAAAAAACATAAGCATCTCAATTGATGACAAGAAAAATTTAAGTATCACTTGACAAGAGCCAACATCTTTTCATGATTAAAACAAAAACAAAAACAAAAACTTCAATAGGCCAAGCATGGTGGCTCATGTCCATAATCCCAACACTTTGGGAGGCCAAGGTGGGTGGACTGCTTGAGCTTGGGAGTTTGAGACCATCCTGGGCAACATGGTAAAACCCCGTCGCTACCAAAAATACAAAAAAATTAGTTGAGCCTGGTGGCACATGCCTGTGGTCCCAGCTACTTGGAAGGCTGAGGTTATAGGATCTCTTGAGCTGAGGAGGCAGAGGTGGCAGTGAGCCAAGATCACACCACTATACTCCAGCCTGGGTGACAGAGTGAGAATCCATCTCAAAAAGAAACAAACAAAACCATTAATAAGCTAGGAACAGAAGGAAACACCCTCAACACAAAAAGGGCATATTTGAAAAATCTACAGCTAAGAGCATGATCAATGAGAAAAAACTGATAATACTCCCCTGCAAATCAGTACAAGACAGATATGCCTAATTTCTTCACTATCATTCAACATTGTACTGGATGTTCTAGCCACAGCAATTAGACAAGAAAAGGAAAATTCATTAAAATTGGAAAGGAAGAAATAAAACTCTGTTCTCACATGGCATTGTTTCACATATAGAACACAAAGGTTTAAAAAAAAAAACTGTCACAGCTGATAAATAACTTTGGAAAAGCTACAGGATAAAAATCAGCATGGAATAAAAAGTTTTATTTGTATACACTAGCAATAAATAATCCAGAAAGGAACTTAAGAACACAATTCCGTTTTCAATAGCCTCTAAAACAATAAAATGCTTAGAAATACATTTTATCAAAGAGGCACAAGACTTGCACACCATAAACTACAAAATGTGACTGAAAGAAATTAAAGAAGACCTAATAAATGGAAAGATACCCCATGTTCATGGATTGGAAGGCTTAATATTGTTAAGGTGCCATTAGTCCTCAAAGCAATCCACAAATTCAATACAATCACTATCAAAATTTCCATACAGTTTTTGCAGAAGTGGGCATGCTAGAATATGAGACCAGAAAACCACCAGCTGGCACATTCCACAGGGGCCTGAAAAACACTGCATTTATCAAGAGCATACATTATGTCCCAAATGGCTGTCCTCTAAGGGAGTTGCTT